CACGCGAGTGGACGGCCTCTTCCTAACAACCCAAGGGAGGTGTTCACTGCTGGAGGTGCTCTAAGAAATTGAATTGGACGTAGAAGAACTAATCGAACTTGAATTAGATAAAGAAAAACCAGATTTAGAGGAAAAAGTTGATGAAGATGATCATCATGGAAACTTGCAATTGTTTGATCATGAACAGTTGGCTCCTATCATCTTCATAACTACTTGCGGCCAACGATGCCTATAATATATGATCCCAATAAATTCTATTAATAAACTTTATTATATCAACTTTAAATTAATGTCAATAAATATATTTTTTGCTGGTTTTGTGGATTATTAGTTTTGTTTTAAATTGCAGCCAGAAGTAGGGGGTCCAGAAGTAATGCCAATTTACATGACATTTTCTTTAAGAACACTAGTGAGGTATTTGATCAGTTTGATGTTCGAGGTTTACTAAAGTTCCAAAGGATCAGTGACTTTTACCTATGTACATGTTATGCACATATTTCACATAAATATTTACTTGAAGATAAGATAAAAACCGCTGTTTTCCACACACTTACACCTCACAATAATGGAAGAAAGTGTCATGAGATTTACATATTCTCCTTAACTGTTTTTCTTTACAAAATATGCAAAACATTATGTATTCAACTAATTTTTGGAAAGTGAGGTGTGTGACCGATGTTTTTCCACACACTTATGGTGAAGAAATACACTTGGAAGAAATCGTCAATACTCGCTAATTTTGGAACCATATGTAACTTCAATGCATAGTTCAGTCCCGAATGATAGCTTGCCTATTCCAACTTAATGTACACTAAATGTTGATATTTTGTTCGAAAGGTTTTCTTGGTTTCATTTTTTTTAGAGACTCCAGAGTACCAAAATAACTTGAATATCCAAAGATTTGAACAGAGTACCAAAATAAACAAACCTCGGATTTAAGTAACCAAAAGAAACCCATTATAAAACTCATAGAAAATCGTCTCAAAACCTATTACATTTCTTTCTTCTTTATCCTTCAGGCATCTTTCTACTTCTTCTGATCTTTCTCATCTTCTTTCTTCAGAGAAGTGGTGTGAACCATCCCAATATTCTCATGGATCTTCAGCTTATCTCCACCTTCAGCTGCTCAAATTGGGGTTTCAGCTTATTTTTCTTTTTATTCTTCATGAACTTCTCAAAAGCACTGTAACAACAAACATGTCGACCAATCTGTAGAAACTGCCTACGGAGAATCTCGAAAGGTTCTTCAAACTTTTCACGAGCCCTGTTGAACCTCTGACCAAAACTCTGGCGAAAACCCTTCAGATGCTCTTTACCCTGCTTTTTACCTGCACCTGATGAACCAGAAGTTGAAAAACGATTCAGGTTTCCCGAGCTGCGATTCAGGTTTTCTGAGCAGGGTACATTAGAACAAAAATATGTACATGTTATGCATATATTTCGCATAAACATGTACTCAAAAATGAGATAAAGACCGATGTTTTTTCCACACTTATGATAGAAGAATACACCTCACAATTATGGAAGAAAGCGTCATGAGATTCACATCCTTTCCTTAATTTTTTTTTACACAGAGTATGCACAAAACTTAGTACTCAGCTAATTTTGGAACCATATGCTGATATTAAACTCTAATACATAGTTCGTGCACATACAATAGCCTGCCTAGAAAGTAAATCCAGATTTAAAGGTCAAGAAAGTGGTCTTCATATAATCAATTTGATGTACAACAATATTAAGAATAGTAAAGGCATTATGTACACTAAAAAAATAAATACGAAATAATTTATTGGATAAATTTTGGTTAGCATCCTTCTTAAAACAGTTTCATTTCATTGAACATTTTCTTCAATTTTTTTTTTAGATTAAGATTCATCTACAGTTTCGTTATTGTTTACCATTGACAACGA